AAAGCCCCCTAAATCCATACTAGCTCCCTAACAAACATGATCATATATAGGCTAGTTGCTTAGAATTGTGTAGAGTCTGGGTCACCCACAGAGACAAATCACATTGGAAGAAAGATCTCCAGTTGAAAGATATGTACAGCCTCCATATATTGAAAAGTGTCCAGGTGACTTGTAAAACTGCCAGGTGAGGTCAACGAGCCTTGTACTCTCCTCATTGCCATCTATTGGTTTCAACCAGCTTTTTAATTTATGAGATTTCTGTCCCACCTTTACTCCAGGAGTCCAAGGTAGCATAGATAACATTTCTTCCTCTATTTAAGAATATCCCTGCATTTGGGGGGGGGGATAATACGGGTGGGGGGGAAATATGTGGAGATTACTTCCACTTTGATTGGTTGATCCACTTTTCTGCAAACAAAATGACAAGGAGGCCCTGATCTGCCGATTAGGAGGGGCCATTGCTTTGCTTCACTGAATTGCTTTGAAGGTGTGTTTGCTCAGACTTCTGACGAATTGAAGAACTCCTTTGAAGATCTGCATAACCCTACTTTTAAACCTTCTTAGATTACCTTCTTACAGAGTGCCCAACTGTCATAGAGGCCAGCATGCAGTAGAAATTCTTCGGGGTTCACACACTTTGAAAAGCTAAGAAGCTGTTGATTCAAATCTAGGGTGATAGTCCCACCAAAATGACTTAGGGGCATCCTGAGCTCTTTCTACATCCCTACAGTCAATTATCAGTTATAACCATTTTGATGAGATAACAAAAACTGAAAAATAAACTAAGTTAGACTTCTCCAACTTGGCACCCTCCAGGTGCGCAGATTTCAGTTGCAAAATTCACTTAGTATGGCCATTGTTAAGTATTTGTATGACTGCAATACACACATCTGGAAGATCCCTATGTAGTGAAGTCTGAAGAGAATTGTCTATTAGCAAAAATGTGTTCTGAAGACAGTTTTTACAGATTCAATTTTTATTGTGCTGCAGTTGGATTTAAAAATCCCTAATATCTGCTGAACTTCTCTCCAGTTCAGATTAAAATTTACATTACTTAAATTTATATTATTTTGAAAATCACAAATATACCTACAATAAATGTTTTTATTATTTATTGAGCAGTTTTGCCATGTACTTAAAAGAGAGACAAAGTTAGAAAGTGTTTATTAACATGTGGCAAGTTATAATAGCTAACTCCTTTAGGGAAGAAAGATGCGTGTATATTTGTATTTATTTTAACTTATTTTTATACATTTGAATATAGCGCTTCACCTTGTTTGGAGTTCAACGTGCTCTATAGTTTAATTCTTTTTCACATTAAAAATAAGAAATTGGTTAAGTACATAATAAAAGGGTTAATGCTCCAAGAAAACAGTAGATTAACATATTTTGGGAAAGTTATGTTTACAAAATTAAAGAGATTGTAATGAAGGCATTGGGCAGACCTCTTTGAGTGTGCTCCATGGTCAGGAATAGCAACTGAAAAAGCTCTCTATTTGACAAAGATGGGCAAATGAAAAAGTGCATTCTAACAAATACCTTACACTGAATGCAGTTCAAAGTTTGGCCGTTAAGAACTTCTGAGACAATTTATTTTTAGCTTAATATGATCATGTGTTGAATTTTAGCTGCCTTCTCCTGTCAATTTATTGAAGGGAAACTGATTGTGGTTTCTTTCCCCTTCGGATAGATAATTGCCAAACGGGGGAGTGATTACATCCTGAAGCATGCACCGGAGATGCACCGAGAACAGAAAGGGCTGTCAACCAGAGAATCAATTCTGAAGTATGTCAAGGAGTCGTGTCTTCTGGAAGATGTCCCTGTCCACTTCTACAGATTGCATAAGGTGCAATAAGAGGCCTTTTTTCAAGCTTTAGAGCAGGGATGTCCAACCATGGCAACTTTAAGGTTTGTGGACTTCAACTTCCACAACATGCTGGCTGAGGAATTCTGGGAGTTGGTCTGCAAGTTTTAAAAGTTGCCAAGGTTGGACCCCTCTGCTTATAATATTCTGCCTGCCAGTAGATCTTGTTTGAGCTCCTATTCTAGATGTGTTTTGAAAGAGCTGTAGCTGTCAGATTATGATTCAGTAGCGGGGGTTTGCAACTCTCTAGAATAGTCAGTAAAAGAAAGCTTGCTTTTTGTCTATCTTCTACCTTCATCTATTCTCATATTTCCTTTTCTTTTAAGATATTCATGGATTTTGCCTGACGTAAACTAAAAGGGCTAAAAACTGGCAAGATCTAACATGCCTCATGCCCAAGTATGCAACAGGTTGAAAATTGGTTGCTTTAATACTTGGATTCCTGCTTAACTTGAAATACTGGAGGGAGTGAGGGAGTGATTATGAGTGCTCCTCCTCCCCCATCCCCCATATGTTGATGGTTAGACAAACTGTATTTATTTCTCTTTCACTATTGCTTTCTGTGGTGGTGGTGTTGAAGAAGAAGAAGAGAAGAAGAAAGATGGATAATTGTTTATGAAATAGGCATAGATTTCAATCTAAGGTTTCAAAACAACATTTGTTAAACTGCTGATACCTTCACAAGAAGCTCTTTCATAATCAGCGTAATTGGATAAAAGAGAAATCTGGAATTACTACTCGGAGTTGCGCCAGTCAAAACCTAATCCTTAAACTGTTAATTCCCTAATTCATAGCTCCTGTTTATCATGGGTGGATGCTGCCTAGCAATGAAACCAAGGTGGAGAACAAAAGACTTCCATGCATCCTGCTGAGGGCTTTTCTCAGGGATCTTGTGATGGTCTTGGCTAATCCTTTGGAGCTTGAATTGTCAGTTTATTGGCTACAACCTGTGTTTGCTAAAAAAAAAAATTTTTTTTTTTTAAATGCTCTTCTCACTCCATCTTCCATTTCATCAGTCCTGAAATGACTAGAAAAGTTTGATGCAAGTGACCCTTTAGGCAGAAAAATAGTGATGTGTGTGTGTCTCTCTCTGTGTGTGTGTGTGTGTATTTTATGCTGTTTCCATCTCAAACTGCTCAGTGCTAGAAAGAAGTATTTTGTATTGCTGGATAGGAAATCTGAGAGAAAGGGCTTTTCTTGATAATTAGTTTTCCCTACAGAGAAAGAACCCGGCATCCGGAACAGAATAAAGTGTTCAGCAACATTAGTACTTTTTGACTAGTTGATTCAAAAAAAAAATTCTTAGAAATCAATGAAATGTCCAGTTCCATTCTCAAATGCTATTGCAAAAAGTCTTGCTATATCTCCTTAAAGTGGTCAAGTAAACAATTCTTTAGTTTAGAACCAACAACAGAAAATAACAGTGCTGGATTAGCTTGTATTCACATAGGTTGCATTCACAGATACACAGATACACATACCACAAGATATTAAGTCAAAAATTAACCTGTTTGTGTGAGAAGGTAAGCCATGAAACAGCTAATGTTAACTCCAGTTTAGCATTCATGTCAAGTGTGCAAATGCAGCTGCTGAGTCTTTTCCTGAATTGGTTGAAAGCATTGTATGAACACAACCACAGCGGTGGAATTTCTACAACAGGAGTGTCAAACTCGCAGCCCAGATGCGTCACACACTGGCCACATCCACCCTCATTTTAGTGAAGGGGAAAAATATCACAATACATCACACGTTGACAATGTGATGCCACAAGTTTGACACCCCTGTTCTACAAGGTAGATCTTAACAGGAAGCAGGGCGAAGAGGGATAATGTAGAGACACATTGAGATAACATGTTGCCATAGGAATTTCAGCTTGGAAACAACTTTAAGAATTAAAAGCAGAAGCTTGAGCAGAGCTTGTAACCTCCCTTTAGCAGATGCAGTCACTCCCAATTTAGTTCAACATGCTCCCACATGTCCACATCTTCTGGAGGCAGGCAGCTAAAATCTTCTGAGCTCTTTACATAAAATATTTCAGTCATTCCTTCGAGCGGATCCTAAAGCATGGATGAATGTAACAAAACCTTATTTTCCAAAGGAGGGTATTACTTACGGGGGAGAAATATTGCTGATGGGAGATAACCTTGACCATAGTTCTAGCCTCCAACTGTGTGGCTGTCTTTTGATAGGTCATAGCATCTTCACTAATTCTCAGGGAAGTGAAGATGCAGAATTCCTTGTCATGCTGAATCTCTCTTCCTTCTCAGGATAAGAAGGAGGATCGTCCTACAATCATCCTTGGTTTGACGCTTAAAGGGATACACATCTATCAGGTAAGAACCCTTCTTATATCCCTGCAGGTATATAAGATCTCACTTTATTAAGCTTGACTTTAATGTTTCCATGGGTCACATGTTCAGTGTTCCAAGTACATACAAATGTGTATTGTGCATGCAATGCATAGTAGCCAGGCCAGAATTAGGAAGTTGGTCCAATACCAATAGACACAAGTCTTTCTGGAATAGAAGAGTCATGTATGTTGGAGCAGGCTTATATTCAGAAACAAGTCGCATTAATTTCAGTTCAGTTCTTGGACATGAGTTTCAGCCATAATATAGTATTATAACCAAAGCCAGTTTGGTCCAGCGGTTAAGACAACAGGCTAGAAAGCAAAAGACTGTCAGTTCAGGTTCCACCTTAGCCAGGAAAGCCAGCTGGGTGACTTTGGGCCAGTCATTCTCTCTTAGCCCAACTCAACTCACAGGGGTTTTGTTGTGGGGAAAGTAGGAGGAAGAAGGTATGTTGGATATGTTCTCTCTGCCTTGAGTAAAAATAATAAAGGTGAGATATAAATAAATAAAATTAGTGTTAATTCTTCAGTCTATTCACAAGTACTCGTGTTACTTTCTTCTTCATCAGTGGGATTATAAGAGAAAATGGTAGGGTTTTTTAAAATTTTGTTTTAAGTTTTGGACATTAAGAATATTTGGGATTTTAACACTGTTTGATTAATTTTATTAATTATTTTTAGACAATAAAAGATAAGCCAGAAATTTTCTATAGATGTTTTGCTCATCTGTTTCACTAAAAAGTAGACTATATGATATTAGTTGTATATTTTAATTAAATTTTTATACTGACACTGTATTAGCTTACAGTATTATTCTAAATAATTTTGATTACATAGTTGAAGTGTATTTCCAAATTATATATTTGAATTTAATCGGGTTGTTATATAACAAACCTTAAATACAACAAAGTAAAAATAAGCTTTTTTTTTAGCCTCATATAAGACTTGCTCTTGACTAGATTATTTTTTAATATCTTTATCCTTAGTAAATCACATAAACTATTGCACAATCTGTTATATCCAACCACATTCTGCTAATATGACTTGAGGTTAAGAATACCCATTAATGTATCACCATTAAAAGATTTAAATTTCCTTGATTCAAAACGGAATGTGAGATGAGCTTTTTACATTAATAGACACTCTGCAAATGTGATAATTACTATATGTTGAATACTTTCAAAACATATGTTAAGAATTGGATTATTACATCTGCATCTTGAAAGAAAAGATCAAAGGGATTTCAATCAAGTATCTTTGAAAAGAAAATTAAGGAACTTTTGAATAGTTATAAATCAAATCTATGAAAACAAGGGAAAGTTGCTGGTCCAGATAGATTACTAATAGACATTTTAATGGAAATTTTGGCTTCAGTATTGTTGATAGTATATAAAGAAGTTAATGTCATCAGAACATTTCTTTCCTTATTTTACTGAGGCTTACATTCTAAATTTCATATTCACGTCAGGTAAAAGAACTGATATTCCATGTTCTTGTTAAAATGTTGACAACAACTTTAGCATGGAAATTTCAAAAATATATTTCCTTCCATAGTTCATCCTGCATGATCCAGCTTTACAAAAGTAAAGCAAACCTACAATAATATTAAACTATTAGTAGGTAATTTTAGAAAGTCAACATAAAAATGTCACTGAGGCACTTTTTTAAGATGCAGAAACAGCCTTTAATATTGCATGAATCAAATTTTAGAATCATGTTTTTTGGGGGGAAATGGATTCTCATGTGTTTAATATTGTTACAGGAAGTAAACCATGTTCGTCAACTACTTTATGATTTTCCCTGGTCACATATTGGAAAAGTTGCATTTTTGGTAAGTGATAATTATGACTTCTTAAACCTACTTTTAGTTTAAATCATTTTATTTGTTAAAAGCTTGAAACAGATAAATATAAATTAAATACAAAATGTATGAACATACATGAATCTGTATGCATGTGTGTGTCTATTCTAGAACAGAAATAGATAAAATGTAATTTAACCTGTAGTCCTGCAGTCCTTTATTCATGTACCCAGGAATTAATTCAAGTGAATTAAATGAGCTTCTATATAGAATTGCAATGATAGTGTATTAAAATAAAATAAATTGTAGTAGCAATGCCAAAAGAGGGCAGTGAGTACATAGGAGGAGAAAAGAAACCTGCACACACATGTAAATTGAAGTGAAAATGATCCCAATCTTTGGTTAGAGCTAACAGACTTTTTGTATAACATAGAGTACATATCCTTCATTTGGTCAACCTGATGGCTAACTTATTACTTCTTCCATCTCATATATTAAATAACTTAGGAAATTAGTAAGATAGTGGTGGTTCCACTGAGCCCTCCCTGTTCTCCACATGTGTTCGGAATGAACTCGCGGTCCCCTTACAGAGAGTTTCCAAGAAGTGAATCTGTCCAGACCTGAAGTGCTTTGGGAAAGAAGTAGTAACAAAATTGTAATGTGCTTCAAGTCCCCTGTACTATGTTTCTGTGAGGAGGACAACAATTCTGAGTGCTAGAAATGTGATATGCCTGCTGCTCTGGCTCTGGCAAAAACGATGATGGTCCATGTCCGCAGCAAAGACAACCAGTCATGAGTTCCTTAGAATGGTATATCTTCTTTAAGCTTATCACAGGAGGATGGTCACCTTCTGATGAGCCCTCTAACTTCTACATTGGCATATGAAGCTGCCAGATTCCTCCAGGTTCACTAGGTCCATATAAGCTGCAAGAAGCCCAGTTGTCTGCCTCTGACCCAGGGGTGAAATCCAGCAGGTTCTGACAGGTTCTGGAGAACTGGTAGTAGAAATTTTGAGCAGTTCAGAGAACCGGTAGCAGAAATTTTGAGTAGTTCAGAGAACCGGCAAATACCACCTCTGGCTGGTCCCAGAGTGGGGTGGGAATGGAGATTTTGCAATATCCTTCCCCCAGGAGTGGGGAGGGAATGGGGATTTTGCAGTATCCTTCCCCTGCCATGCCCACCAAGCCACACCACGCCCACCAAGCCACGGCCACAGAACCGGTAGTAAAAAAATTTAGATTTCACCACTGCTCTGACCCCACAGGTAATTGCTTGTATGAAATCTCAGAGAGAAACTGTATAAAGGAATCCAGGAATGTGTGTAAAGTGGAGATACATTCTTTGCCCCTGGAAAAGGCTTGAATTTAGCAAAAAAAATTCCCAGAAAATAGTGCAAAGATACAGCCTCAACCCATCGAAGTTTCTTTATCTGCTTGTGTGCCAATATGCTGCTTTTATAGCTGAGGGTCGTTTGGATCCTAAAAGATCTTGACATCTGAAGAAGCCAAGCTTTAAAGATGTTGGGACCAGGGTGATAAGCTTACTGATGGGAAGCAGTCATAATTCAACAGGAAAAGATGAACTTGAACATCCATAGAGAACTTTATTTATCATAGTAATGTCGTGGCCCGTATGCGGCCTATGCGGCTGGTGGCTGATTCAGACAGCGAGGAGGCTGGTGTGGTGCTGCACCAGCAGCCTGTGCAGCTGGCATTTGAGTCGGACAATGAGACTGAAGAAGATGTGGTGCCAGAGGCGGGGATTCATCCAGGGCCTTCAGAACCTCCAGAAGCTCCCTTAAGTGAAGAGGACGAAGACGAGCCTCTTCTCGATGCACGGGCACCCAGAGCTGCCAAAAGGCAGGAGTGGCTCCTAAGGAGGAGGTCTCCTCGAGAGTAAGGCTTGGGGCTAATTGGCCAGTCCCTTTGCCTATTTAAGGAGGAACACCAACTGAAGCAATTTGCAGGGAATAACTTCATTCACTCTCCTTCGGGCCTTGATCTTAGTTCCTTGCAAATTGCTTCTGGGCTTTCTGCCAACCATAGTAAGAGTAAGATTATTTATTCTTTGAATTCTTGTAGGCTGTTAAGAAAGTTAATTAACAGCCTTTGTTTGGAAAAAAAAACTTATTTAATTTAATTAAATTTAATTAATTTAAATTAATTAATTATTTAATTTAGTAAACTAAGGTTTGTACAGACTTTGTGTGTGCTGCGTTCTTTGGGGTCCATAGCTGGGGCAGAACAAGTAAAGGCCTTTATTTTTTGTGCCCAGCTTCTATGATTCGTTCCAGTGTCCTTCAAAGACTTACATTTTTCCTTCCCTCTCCTCTCCTCTCTTGTCTTTCTTTTTTCTTTTTCTTTTTTTTAATTTAGGGGAAAAAATTTGTGATCCAGCCAGATGGCTTGCCTTCTGCCCGTAAATTGGTTTACTACACAGGCTGCCCCTTCCGCTCTCGGCATTTGCTACAGCTGCTCAGCAACAGTCACCGGTTGTTTCTTAATATCCAGCCTATACTCAAGCAGATCCAGATAATGGAAGATGCAGAAGGTATGTAAAAATGATGCTGCCAATAAAAATGTTTTTTTTTTAAAAAAAAATGAAAGCCCTGATTAAGTTGGTTAGTGGGTGGCTTGATGGGTGGGTTGGTTGAATATGTAAATATTTGATAAACCAGATACATTATTTGAGCCAGTTGAGGCAAGCAGGAGAAATATCAATGAGTGACAATGTTAGACAACTGCCAAAGTTTGTATTCTATTAATTAAGTTTCAATGAAGCCTGTAACTACTGATCATCATTATTACCTTTTCTGGTTTGCTTGTTTGGAGCCCAAAAAAAGGCAGATGGTGAGGTGAAAGAAGAGAAAGTTTTCTGACACAGTTTTGCATTTTATTCTTTATTTATCTATTTATTTTATCTAACTGAGCTAATGGGCCCCTCCAATTATTGAAAACTCTGAGCAGTTTACATACCCAATATCCATAAAACTGATGACAATGATAAATAATTACTCCCAATAAACAAGAGTTTCCATCTCTAGACTGAAGAACATAATTCTACATTACACAAATATCTTGCTGTAAGAAGGGACAGTCTCAGTTTCCTATGGGAGGATGTACAGGTCTACCTCCATTGTTCCTATGGATGACTTCTCTGAGAGATGGGATCCAATGAGACTCGATTCTTCCTGATCTTACTGGATAGGCAGATCCTATTGAGAGTAGATGGTCTCAAAACATGTGTGCTCCAGCTTAGGGCTATAATACAGTACATTCAGTGGACATTAAACAACTGCCAAACAAGCATAACACTATCACAACAAAAATCACATTTTACATTCAGAATAAATGTTGCATGTTGGTAGGGATGCATTCATTCTGTTTCCAATTTATTTTTCCTCTGTAAGAATATCCATTTTTTTTATTAATTTCAACACATGGAATAATTCCTATGCCAAAGAAATATGGTTGAATGAAGAGCAAGGAAAACTGCTATGTGGAACACTTAGACTTATATACCGCTTTACAGTGCTTTACAGCCCTCTCTAGGCAGTTTAGAGTCAGCATATTGCCCCCAACAATCTGGGTCCTCATTTTACCCACTTGGAAAGGATGGAAGGCTGAGTCAACCTTGAGCCTGGTGAGATTCGAACTGCCAAATTGTAGTCAGCGGCAGTCAGCAGAAGTAGCCTGCAGTACTGCACTCTAACCACTGTGCCACCGCAACAAATACTATATATGATAATTATATGGGATATTGCATTTTTAAAAATAAATTAGTTCTTGGTTGCTAGGTTTCATTTCTCCTTTTCCTGTAACATTTTTGGTATCATGTGGCTGTAATTTTTTTGGTATTAATGTAACTTTAATTGTTATGTAAAATTCAGTTTATTTATTTCTTTTTCACACTTTTCTTTATCTACCCCTCCACTCTTCCAGAGAAAAAGAGGTATCGAGAATCCTACATCAGTGATACTTTGGAGATAGATTTTGATCCATCAGATAAGCATTCACACGACAGTGGGAGCAGCAGAGGAAGTGAGAGTAACAACCGCCTATCTCGACAGTCTACTGACAGCCATGGCAGTTCACACACCTCTGGCATTGAGGCTGACTCGAGACAACACATCTCCATGGAGATGTCTGTGGACGAACCCTTTGGGATGGATCCAATCCATCAGAAGGATCAGTCCTGCAGTTCCAACATCAGTTATAGTAGCTCTGGAATTGATAGCAACAGCAAAGAGAAAGCTGAAAATGACTTGCACGATGATGGTAAGTTGTGAAAGGACAGAATCACTAGTAGCCATTTTGTCTCCAAGGCAAGCTGGAAACAGCAGAAAAATGGTAGGCAGGTGGGTTTAGAAAAAGGCAGCATTCTTGCTAACTGTGCTTATATTGTGTCCAGAGGTGGAATTGGCTGTGGATGAGCCAGACACTTTACCTGCGGATGACTCTCACTTTGAAGAAATGATCCGTGAGGAATCTATTGATTGTCAGGCAAAAGATATTTGGTGCCAAGGTAGGATGGCATTTGCATGATTCTTCTTCATGTTTCAGTGTTTGCCTCCTGTTAGTAAAATATTGATATTCCTTAACTCTAAATAAAACAAGAAGGATTACCTATTATTCAGATGAAATCAATTTTATGTAAGACACTTCAATTCTACTTTTTCACTGAACTGGAAGGGTTTGTATGTAAAGGGTGAAGGAAGACATATATAGGTAGGTTTATCTGTCCATTGTTGATTAAGAAAGGTGCAAGGCCAACATTTTGTGTGGTCTGGATTTCATAAGGCATAATGATAAGTTCCATCAGTTTCTCTAAATAGTGGGGCTCCTAAATTGCTAAATGAAGCATTAGCACATTCAGCACTTTTTATGAATCTTAGAAACTTCAATTTGAATATATAATATGTTTTGCTTTCCTCTATAACTTGCTTTACAAATTGTTATTAAATACTTACGTGCATTTACCTGTGAGTATTAGTGTACCATAGTGTATCAGATAGCTATAAGACTGGATGTGTGAACTGATGGGCAACATACCATTATGACTGGCCAGTAGGTGCAAATTATATTGTGGTGGGGGAAGGTTTGAGTGAAAAATTTAAAGTTATTTTATCATCCCTTATCTTCAGGAAGTAATCTAAAAAAAGGGGGATTCATATTACTGGAAAGTTTGTCTTTTGGACTGAAGTTTTTTAAAAATAGATACAAACTCTAATCTGTATGTAGGCCTACCTATAAAATCAATGCATCCAGATCCAACTAAAACCAAGCATAGTTGGCCCATAGATAGACATACTCGAACTTCGAATCAGGTTTACACTTAATGGGACATCTACAATCTCTACTGCTATGGTGTTCCTCTGCAGGAAATAAATCTTGCTATTCTGGCTGACTTGCTTGAACAATTTTAGGATCTCATCCTGGCAGCCCAGAGTTTATCATGCATTGAATTGAGTCTTTTCTTTTGATTACAATTGTATTAATTTGTATGTTGAGAGCTGGCTCCAACTCTGTCTCTGGAAGCTGCAGAACCCGTCTTCATTTTCGACGGTCACCGACTATCCTGGTTTCCTCTCTGCCCCTCACAGATATTAGTAAGAACCCCCTATCTGTGGTACATGTCGCCGAATTAAAGGCCAAAGGCCAGAGTGCGGACTCGCTTAATCAGGTAAGATCATGGTTCATTAAAGAGTGAAAATAAATCTAATTTCATTTCTCTTCTGCTCTATCCAGGCACTTTGATTCCTCTGTGAGTCCACCAGAATGCCACCATCACAAAATTGTGCCACAACAGTTGATGGTAGAGTGCTGAGAAATGAATTCCTTTTTTTCCCCCTTTTTTTTTCAGTGCACATCTAAATTAAAACAGCATGCTTCACAACAACTACTTGGAGGGGGGGAATCAAATATCACCCCCAATATTTTTGCCCAAATTCATACATTGCCCATTTATGCATCATCATTTCATCCTGTTGTTCCTGGCTGGCCCCCAGGAATCATACTTTTAAAATTCCCTAGCTACAGAAGAGTTACTCATAAAATGTAGACGTTTAAAATGTCACCATCTGACAAAAGAAATCAACTAGTCTTATTTGGGAGGAAATCTGGATTTGTGAAAACATCTATTTCTACACCTAAAAACCTAGTGTAACATATTCTAGAAACTGGTTATGATCCCAAACAAAGAATTTGTAGAAAGTCTTAGTTTTTGGAGTTAGTTTCCAAAGTAGAGTCCTGTGAAATGCTTAAGCAATAATAACCTGGCCTGAATAGAGATGAAAATATACTTTCATCTTCCCACTTTAATGTTAATGTTGCTACTGTATGTTCCAAGTGTGGTTGAAAAAACTGAATATATTTGTGGGATTTGCTATTTATCCTCAGTTTATTGGGGGAGCTCAAAGTGCTCAGTGAAGAATGCTTCCCACGTTTCATTTCCTAGCATACATGAGCAACAAAAATATGAAAGTGAAGTCAAGTTCAGCTTAGCAAAAGCAAAAAATGATTAATTTTCCAAGAATCAATAATCCTAGGTAGTTTAGTTCACTCACTTTAAATTGTGAAACACTTCAAGTGTGATACATATTGAATGATGACTGTGTAACACTGAATTTGTTTAGCTGCGTAGACACAGCCTAACCAGGGGTGATCTTAATGTATCCCTTCTTACTATAGAATGAGAATTAAAAATGCAGTTAAGATTGTGGCAGGGGTGAAATGCTACCGGTTTGCACCAGTTTGGGTGAACCAATAGTAATAAAAGCTACTGGTTCAGGTGAACCAGTAGTAAAAAAAAAAAATAGTAAAAAAAAAAAGCTATTTCCAACAATCAGCTGTGCCACACGATTTATATTCGCTAGAAAGCAGGAAATCCTGCTTTCTAGTTAATCTAAATTGCACGGCACAGCTGTTCTCCCCCCTCACTGTTCTACTTACCTTCAAACGGCTCCTTTTTCTGTGTGAAGCGCGCGTTTTGTGTGCACTGTGCATGCGTGCATAGCATGTGTTTGGTGCGCACTGCACATGTGCATGCACTGCGTGCATCTGGTGCACACCATTTATGCATGGGCAGCGAACCAGTGGCAACCAGCAGAGGATTTCACCACCGGATTGTGGTCTTGTAGCACATTTCTGTTAATATAATAAAATGCTGCATATCTCTTCAGTTGAATTATAGCAGTGCTCAGATTTCGTGGAGCGTGTCCAGATATATATGAACATAAAGTATAACTTAGTTACCATTAAGGGCTTGGAGTCCTTGATTGAAGGCTTCTCAGTGTTAATATCTTCAGCCATTGCCTTGCAATGGAAGGAAGGACAACCTATTTAGTCCTACAGCAATTCAGTAAAGATAAGCTACACTGACAAAAATAACATCCTATGAAGTTCATGGATAACAAAGGATTTGCACTGAGGTCTTCTCAGTCATAGCACATTGTTCAAGATATCTACATATCTTCATGTGGTGGTTCTTGGTGGTCAGAACAGAATACAAAATTATATTTCATCTGACATTTCTTTTTTTATTTTTGTCATTGTCATCTTCATTATATTTCTAACATTGTGAAAACCTTGTATACAGATTGAAATGCAATATTATCACAACCCCAGACTCATAAATAACCTGCAGAAATGAAAGTTCATATATTTTGGAATTCTGTCTCCCATACCTTTTTTATGCAGTTGATATTTATTTGACCCCTTCCATAAACTGTCTACCTTACCCAACTTTACTATTTGGATCTAAATCCAAATAGTAGAACATTTTAGCAGAACATCTAAATCTCAGTATTTACTGTTCAAGTCAGATCACATAATACACACATAATTATAATATTAACAGTATATTGATGAAAACATCAAATCAGTGATAAAACAAAGTGCTCGTAGCAAGTCGCATGTATGTGATTTGCTAAATCTGTTTCTTAATTCTTTCAATTCAGATTATTTAACACTTAGTTTAGTGTATATATCAGTGGGAATGATAGGTATGGAGCTTAGAATGTAGCCATTGAGCACTGAGTAACTTCATAATTGCTTATAATTGGTTCATAGCTTTTTCACTGAGACAAGTTTCACAAAAGAAATGCTGGTAATATTGGATGAGAGGGATAATCAGGGCAACTTGCATAAACAAACTTATTTTTGATGTCCTGTTCGCTGAATGTGGAATGTTTAAAAAGATGTGCTCTTCTTTAATTGGCAGATTGCCCTACCCAAAGCAGCAAAGTCCCCAGAGCAGCACAGCCAAAGTCTAGATGACGTCCGTCTCCGCAAATGTCTACATCCACCACTGAGTACCACGTTGTCTTCGGATACCTCTCACAGTTATACATTTGGTTGTGCCTTAGAGGATAAGCTAGCCAGCTATGGATGTGTGTATTCAACAGCCGATTGTAAAACTAAGTCAGCCCTCTATGGAAAGAGGTCCATGAACTGCTTGTCTTTAGATCTCTTGGGAGAAGATCAGTTCCCAGAAGAATTTGTGGTGTAGCCACATGGCGGAAGCCTCTCGGACCATCTTTTCAGAACATCTGCAAAACAATTGAATTACTACTGTTGGAAAACAGTACTTGCATAAATATCTCTAATATTTTATATCTCATTGGAACATTTTGTCACTAAGAATACAGTTGGCAAAGGACCTCAAATAGTGAATGTCCAACCTAGAAGTCTTTCCCCTCGAGTGTGGTGCATCAGACTTCACCTGGTTGTACTATGTATAATTTAGGGGGAACCTTTCTATTTTCCTGAAAGCAACCTACTGCCAGTAATTATCTACTATGCCGAAGCTTGTGACTTCCATCGTCCTTGACTTCATCAAGATAGAATGTATGCATTGTTTTTATAAACTGTTCTTTTGTTGTTGTTGTTAAATTCATGACTCTCCTTCCAACTTTATTTTTTAATTATAAACAACCTTTTTGCCTATTTTCAATGTGAATAAATCAATATAGGTGGGGGAAACTGTTTTCAGGCTTTGCTTCTCCTTGTTTTATTTACTTCTATGTAGGGATGACGTCTCTGTTTGTTAGAAGCTGCTAACAGGCAGTTATGTTTGTAGGGGCCTGATCTGTGTAATAGATGTAAGAAACCCAAACAATTATACAAACAAATGTTGCCCCCTTTTTAGAAATGATCATCAGGTCACTGACTAGAACATTCTAAACTATTGGTATAAAGGGTACTCAGAGCTATATCAAAATTATCCCCCTGTTTGAAGGATAATACAATTCAGTATTGACGTCTCATTGATTTGGGACTAGGTGCACTTTTTATATGATGATTATTCTAGATGGAAGGAAAGACACTGTGTTTAGTGAATCTCTTAACTACTCATTGTTGCAAAATGTTGGCTTGCTAATGCTTGATTTATTTCACAAAGATGACGTTGCCATAATTTTCGTGAGTTATTACATATGAACATGTGTTTCTTCTGAGAGACAGTTCAGTGCTCATTAACCGTACCATCTATCTATGATGAGCTGATAGCATCATGCCAGCAGGTCTGTTCTGAATCTTCTTCTTCTTCTTCTTTTTTGCAAAACTGTGAATTGGGAAATAGGGCTGGTGGCTGCTCTTTCCTCCCTCAGTGGCCCCTTATATTAATGCTGTGTCATAAAACATTGTCATTCCAAGGATGGGGTTGGAAGGGCAAAGGGGCCACTTATAGGAGTATCTTGGCAGTAAACCTATTCTGGAAAAAGAAAAATATGCTCTTGTCCTCATTTTTCCTATATTCCCATATGTTTCCAATCTCTTCCCTAATTGGTAGAATTTCTCTCCCTAAAGCAATAACTTGATTTTTTCTAAGTTCACCATTTTAAAAAGCAGAGAACTGAAGGGAATATTTCATCATGTAAGTATGAGATTTAGGCAGGCGTGAAATGCTCCCGGTTCGGACCGGATCAAGCAATCCGGTAGCGATTCTGATAGGTGATTCGGAGAACCGGTAGCGATGGTAGCATGAGGCTCCGCCTACCCGCCCGGGTGTCGTTACTTCCTGCTTTTAAAAGGTTTTTTAAAAGGCTCTGACAATCGCACACCACAGCTGTGATCGTCAGAGCCTTTTTTTAACCTTTTAAAAGCATTTTTTTACAACCTATTCGCCCGAATAGGTTGTAAAAAATGCTTTAAAAAAGAAAAAAAATAGTTGGCCATGCCCACCCAATCACATTACTACCCCCCAAGCCACACCCATAGAACCAGTAGTAACAAATTTTACATTTCACCACTGGATTTAGGTATCATAGATTTCATCATTAATGCCCCAATTTTTATTCTCCTTTAGTACTTCTGAGGTACTATACATATACAAATATATATTTGACTGTGAATCTCTATGGACCACATTAGATGAGAGATGCCCATCACTCAGATAGCGAAGTCTCCCCATGTGCATGCACACACACACACACACACACATTTAGAAGACTACCACATTGGTCAAAAGGCTACCATACCACCACAATTTATACATACACGCATCACAATCACAGTCCAAACCAGACTTCCCACATGAATTTAAAAAAGAAACAAACAAATGATGCCTTTTAAAATTATATAAATGCCATTTCAGCAAATTTGAGTTTTTATTCTGAATAATGGAGAAATGGATGACCAAGAACCATAGAATGATAAGGCTGAAAGAAGTTTAAATTGTATAGATGGTATGTGCTTGATTGTGTTAGAATTTTCCTTTTACTTCTTTCTTTCAATGGATATGATCTTCTCTCAAAGACAGTCTGAGATGGTCAGATTGGCAATGTAGACCCTATATTACAGCTGGTCCTCCACGTACAATCTTCCATTTAGTGACCGTTCAAAGTTACAAAGGCACTGAAAAAAGTGACTTTTAACCATTTTTCACTCTTATGAGCATTGCCGCATCCTCAAGATCAGGTGATCAGAATTTGGTTGCTTGGCATTATTTATGACCGTTGCAATGTCCCAGGGCCGTGTGATCAATTTTGCGACCTTCTGTCAAGGAAAGTTAATGGGGAAGCCAGATTCACTTTACAATCATGTTACTGACTTAAAAACTGAAATGATTCACTTAACAACTGTGGCAAGAAAGATTGTAAAATGGGCAAAACTAACTGTCCTGCATAACAACAGAAATTTTGAGCTCAATTGTGGTCATAAGTCAAGGACTACCTGCATTCAATCAGCAGAAGAAATCATCATTCATTCATTCATTCATTCATAAACTGGTGTTAACAGTATTTTGTTTTCATGATTCCACATTTAAAAGAATACAGTTTGGCCATTGTTATAGAGACCTTTCCTTAGCTAAACAGAAAAACAAAATGGACAAAAAAGCATTGGCAGTAGGAGCGACCTCCAACTTTCTGACAGTTTCCCCCTTGAATTTCCTTGTGAATCTCCTCTACTTCTCTTTCCTTCCTTTCCAGCGGTCAAATAAGTAGCTGCTGCTGAGTGGGGGAGTAAGTGGTTGCCAGACTGCCTGGGAAACTGTCACAAATGTTGAAAATGGTCACATGACAGCAGCAGCAACAGCCAGTAATACTGAAACAGCCATAAAAAATTGTCCAAATTTTATCCCCTCAGGAGTCACGGGTTTCAAATTATGGGCACATTCTGTAAATTTGCCCATCTGAAGCACCTTGGTTCAAAAATTGTTGCTTTTAGATGCACTATTTTGCCCAGTTAAAAAGCATGACAACAAGAATTTTAGTACATAGATGAACAGCATCAACCTCTTAGCCTTTGCTGCTACAAAATTCTCTTGCACAGAGAAAGATTCTGTGACGCCCAGTTAAAAAGTATCTTAGCTGCACCAATTGCTCAAATTAGTTTTTGCAACAATTCTTTTATTGTATCTGCATGATTATAAATGAAGCCAACTTTCACATTCATGCATGAAAAAAATCATTGCCAATCTCTCTCTTTACATGCTGCCGCATTACAAAAAGGCTGTGGTATATCTGCTGTATAAGAAGTGCTATTATTTTTTGTAATAAGTGAGAATGGAAAATGTGCAACGTGTCCAGATTTTGCCTTGATTTCCCACAAGAGATATGAGGAGATGAACAGGGCAAAAGGAGGAATACCAAACCATAGGCAATATGAAGATGAGTTCTTGTGGAGAACCATGAGATTCAGAAGTAAGTTTAATAGTATTTCCAGGTGCCATTATTTAATATTTAATTCTTTTCTATCAAACTCATAACATTGTTTTATTTCTGGCTAGACTGTGTCCCCAGAATCTTTAAAGCTTTGGAAAGGAAATGAGAATCAGGTTCAACTGATGCAAAATCTTAATGAAAACTCTCTTATCACGCAACTTTCTTTTGATCCAAGATTTACAACCTGTATTTCTAATTTCAATCCTGAGATTCTACTTTATATACAGCTTAACTGATGTATGGGATTTCTCTTTTAAAATGCCTCATAGTCTATAGAAGATAGAAAATCCAGCTGTCTCAACTGAATAATATTTAGGACATCTCCATCTTTTATGTTCAATGTTTTCTTTTTTATGAAAGGAAATATTTTCTAATAAAAAAAACCCCACACCATTAATCTATTTACGTAATAAAAGGTAGCCAAAACTACACAAATGTGTGCTACTGCGGAAGATCAACAATGGAAAAAATAAGGTCTTTGCACCCCAAGGGAATATTTGCCTGCCAACCTCTTTGATCATCATTCAAATGCAACTGTTATTGCTGGATCAGGTAGTGGCCATATGAAACCTAGCATTTAATCATAGAAACCCCAGATCCCAGCAGTTTTGGGGAAGTCCATTCTTTCCATAAGGCAAACATCTGCCTAACGCTGACTTGTGGTCAAACATACCTGTGCTTTGCTCACCTCATCAAAAATAGAATGGCTCCAAATAGGAAATGCAATGCTAGAGAAAAAAAAGAAGGTGATATAAGTTCTGGAAACTCCGTTTTGTGGGAGAAAGCAGATACTGTCTGGGAAAGAAGAGAGGAAACAAGGTACATGCTTAAAAATAATGAAAATAGGAAGATGTCAGAATTATAAAATGAAACTAAGCAGATATCTGTGAGCCTGCTGAATGTATTAGTGTATTTCAGGGATAGTTCAAATAAAAATATATGTGAATTTCTACAAATGCAAAGACATGTCTTTGTTCAACCTACAAAATACACAAATCTGGGATCTTCTGAGCACATCTGCAGTTCTGATCCACTAGTTAGGTTCTCTTTTTGCTTGAAATCAATTAGGAAAATTCACTTTATTGCTGTTCTTGTAACTTTACTGTAGTATATAATAAAAAGAAAAAAAACTAGTATATAATAATTGTAATTTTGTTCCTCTAAAACAGTAGCCCCAAACCTTTTGGGCACCAGGGACTGGTTCTGTGGAGAGAGGTTTTTCCACAGACTGGAGGGGGCATAGTTTCATGTGCCGGGGGGTTGGGCACCCTTGCTCTAAAACACACAAAACTTTTTCTGATGAAGTGGGTGATGATAGTGGTTAGAAATAATTCATTTATCAGAAAGCACACAGTAAACTTTTTATAATAGCTGCTCAGACCCCCTCCTCGGAGTTTTTCTTCTCCATGCTATTCTTTGGCATCTTCATTTCCTGAAACTTTTGAGCAACCAACAGATTGTGCAGACTGCATGATCTTTCTTTATAGATTGGCTGTGCAAAGAATTATCTTTAATCCCCAAGCAAGTATAGTCCATGTTTCAAATCTTTCTTTAATAATAACCGGCCTTCCTTTCAATTATTCTTCAAGGTATTTTTTCCCTTTAGCTTTGTTTTCCATAATACTGGGGAGTGAAATTACTTTGTTCCCTTATAATAGTTTTTTACTGCATTTTGCTATTTTCCCCAAAGAATTCAATTATTGCCTAACTCGGGGGTGAACAACTCTGGCAACTTTACAACCTATGGACTTCCAAGTCCCAGAATTCTGGAAGTTATAGTCCTCAGGTAATAAAGTTGGCATAATTTCCCACATCTCTTCTA